CTGGCTTGGTCTCCATCGACATTTTCTGCAGAGTTCACATTTTGCCCGGTGTTGATGATTTTGCTGTGCACAGCTCCTTGCGTAAGATATCTGAAGGAACGGCTGGGGCCCGGGGCTCGGATTTATAGTCTTACCTGGAGGAGGCTGCAGTGACTCCAGGTTTGGTATCATCTTCACATCTTGTCTGAAGACGTCAGAGTGACTCAATCTGGGCGTCTTATCTGCCTGTGCTGAATGTGGTCAGCATCCAGGCATTTGGCTGACTTGACAGATCTTCCCCCTCGTCATGGAGCCGCCGCGTGGGATGTTACAACCATTCCATGCTGCCTACCGAGAAAGGCAGCTACCGGGCGTTTGGCAATCTGGAAGGAGGCTGTGAGAGGAGACGACCTCTTTTCTTGGACGGGAAACCGAGCCACCCTCCACCTCCCTGCCACTGCTCATCCTGAGCGAGTGCACTGGACTGCAGAATGATCTGGAGAACTTAACTCTCTGCCCTGGGGATAACAACTGGGAAACAAGACCCTCTTCACTCAAGCTGCTTTTGAACGGGAAGGGGTCCCCTCCCTGCTGTAGGCATGGCTGCCCCCTCTCCAGCTGCTACTTGTTGCAGTGGGCAGGTCACCCACATCTGGGGAACTCATGGCCAACCATGACTTGATTCCCTCAAGAGTAGGATAGCCTTTGGCCAACTGTGTTCTTCAAGGATAGGACAGGCCTTGTCCAGCTTTGACTTGACTCCCTCAAGTGTAGGATAGCCCTTGGCCAACTGTGACTTGCGTCCTTCAAGGTTAAGATAGCCCTTGGCCAACTGTGACTTTTGTCCTTCAAGGGTAGGATAGCCCTTGAGCAACCGTGACTCAAGTCCCTCGAGGACAAAGTTCTCCACTCTCCTACACCCTGTTCTGTGAAGAGACTGTGGTGTCAAGCAGGCTCTGTCTCAGTGACAGTCACTGCTACTTCTGTTTCTGATTCCTCTGGGTTGGTTTTCAAAGGCTTTGAATTATCTGTGTCTGCAGGGCACCTCGTCATACTTTCAAACTACATTTAGTTGCAGAAATCTTACAGGAGATTCTGAAAATTCCTTATGAACATATGTGTTCATACCTCTATCTTTTGAACAGCCTTAAATTCATGTTCATTCTTATTTTAAATCTTGTGAAGGACTGTAATGTATATTTTCTCTGTCACTTTCTGATTACTTGTGCTGGCCATTATCTACAGAAAATGTAAAAAGTCATTCTATATTTCACTCATTAACTTAAATATGTATTTGATTGATAGCATCCAGACAGAGAATACTTTCAGAATGCCTTTTAAACAGCATTTACGGACCTCAGTTTCCTTTTATCCAGCTCCTATAATCTAGCTTCGTCAGAACACTGTACGTCAGCATCAGTGCATGTTTGCTATCATGGTCTGGAACCTTATGATTAGTTATTTAAAATTTTATTTACATGCCATCCAAAAATGTGCTTCTTTATTTCAGATACATCATACAAAAAACATTTCTAAAGTATGTTCCTTTCCCAACAGAATATTTGAAATTAGGAGGAGGATATACTGTGCCTTAGAAGTTGTAGTAGCTCCATCTCTGAACTTGTTTTTCCACTTCAGTTTTCTTCTCTTTTGAAAGAACCAGGCAAGCAAGAGGTCAGCAACATTCATCTGAGCAGTGGGACCCCCTCACCGCCTTGAATCGTTCATCTGTTCTTCTGCCTCTGTAGTGCTTGTCTACCTGTCCCCAGCCACCATCACCGACGCAGCTGCCCGACGTGTATCTCTGTTCCTCCACTGGTCGTCATTCCCCGTTGCCCTAAGCAGGGCAGGGAGCGTGATGGTTCAAGCTGTCTTGTTCTCTCCGCTCCAGCATCATCCAAGGTCCCAGTCAGTTGTGACAGATCTGGGCAGATACAGTTGGAGGGAATTTAACACACAGGGAGAAGACACTCCCATTCAAAGTGACACCGCATGCACTCCAAGGAGACGTAATTCCTTTCTAGCAGGAGAATATGCTGAGTCTCTTCAAACTTTGGTGTCATGAGCTCCCGTTCAAGATTGGGAAACTTCTTCTAAAACGCCAAAGGCAATTCTACATATAAAAAGGGGATTTAGGGTGTGTTTAAGGAATTGTGAAAGCTATATAATTGTTGGGTTTCATCAAAACTTCTGGTACAGTGGAGCTTTGATTGGAAAGATCTGTATCTGGAATTATTGGGAATAATTAACGAAGGCTGGAAATCCAATGCAGGGATGCACAAAAGTGCATTATCATGAAAGTTGACTTCCAAGATGTCGTAAAGATAGGAGAGTCCATTTAGTCATTGAGACCTGTTTCAATGTTCTTGTTCTTTTATTCATTTCTATATTGCAGGGTGTGTTTCCAGGCAGGCCCAAATATGGTAAAGCTCAACTGAGAATCTGTCAACAACACCATGCTGATGAAAATAATAAATTGGTTTCCACCTTCACACCCATGCTGTCCCAGCCCACCTCCAGAAGTGGATAAAAGGGAGTGCCTGAAGCTGTGGAGCCAGAGAAGACTGTGCAGACTTCTCTCTGCATTCATCCCTCAGCAGCACAGCTCCATTGGTCTTCCTGCTTTTCTTGACCTTGACTCTGCTTGGAAGAAACAGCCATGTCTCGGCAGTCTGCTTGCAGAAGCTTTGGAGGCGGGAGTAGGAAGGGCTACAGCTCTTGCTCTGCCATCGGTGGTGGCTTTGGAGGAGGTGGCAGCAGAAGCAGGATCAGTTACAGTTCGTACTCCTCATCCAGGGGAGGTGGAGGAGGTGGACATTGTGGAGGTTTTAGCAGCAGGAGCCTCCATAACCTGGGTGGCAGCAGAAGAATTACTATGGGTGGATGCTATGGAGGATATGGCGGCAGAATGGGTGGCTTTGGTGGAGGCTACGGAGGAGGAATGGGTGGCTTTGGCGGAGGAATGGGTGGTGGAGGAATGGGTGGCTTTGGTGGAGGAATGGGTGGTGGAGGAATGGGTGGTGGGGGGATGGGTGGTGGAGGAGCTGGTGGCTTTGGTGGAGGAGTGGTTGGCGCTGGTGGTCCTGGCTTCCCTGGAGGCATCCAACCGGTGCAGGTTGACCCAACCCTCCTGCGGCCGGTCCATGTTGAGATTGACCCCCAAATCCAGCAAGTCAAAAACCAGGAGAAGGAGCAGATTAAGACTCTTAACAATCAGTTTGCCTCTTTCATTGACAAGGTGAGAATTTAGGACTGTGTTTCTTTGGAGGTGGGCATTTTATGTGACTTTCCTGTGGTGTGGAAAGGGAATTCTTTTTTCTTAGCACTAAGTACTTGTTAAAGTTTGCAGGACTGATGCCTTAGTAGCAAGTTATTATTAAAGTCTCGTGAAGCAATACCGAAAAATAGACAAAGTTTTCATGCTAAGGGAAGATTAAAGAGAACATCTGCAGGACTTTCTGCAGATTCGCTTGCCGAGTGGTGTCTTCAGCCTAATTTGTAGTGATGCAGGGTGAAGTCAACATCTTATACTTGGCTGTCCTAAGAGTTCTCACTACTGTGCTTTTCTTTCTGATGAAACTTTCTGTTTAAGGGTGTTAAATATCTTTCCAATACATTTTCATTATTTTTATTTCAAATAGAAACCAAAGAAATGCGGAATCATTTGGAAGAAAATTTGTGTGCAGTTAGTAACATGCAAAAAAATTTCTTTTTCTTGACTTCACTGCTGCAAAGATTACAGCAACGTCCAAGACTGATGCTGTAGAAAATGGGGATGCTCTTTTCTATTGGAAACTTCTTTTTGTTCCAAAATAAGAAGCTCAGAATCACCCAGAGTATAATAATGTTTGTCATGCACTTTAGGAACTTGGGTGTCTGAACAAGCCATAGTTGGAGATTTGCGAAACGATTCCCTTGGCGTCCCAAATAAGCAGCAGGTTTGAGTAGTGTGATGTCTCCCCTGGTGAACATCTCACACACACCTCTGTGGGCTTTCAGGTCCGTTTCCTGGAGCAACAGAACAAGGTCCTCTCCACCAAGTGGGAGCTCCTCCAGCAGCAAGGGCCTTCAGGGCCGAGGAAGAACCTCGATGTCATCTTTGAAAATTACATCCAGAACCTGAGGAGGAAGCTGGAATCTCTCCTGTCACAGAGGGGACAGTTGGAGTCAGAGCTGCAGAACATGCGGCAGTACGTGGAGGAGTACAAAACCAAGTAAGTGCACCCTCAGCCAGGAGAGCTGAGCCAGCTGGGAGATGTCCACACTGTCTTCCCTGTGCTCTGGAGCCCGTTAGAAGTGGGACCGTGGTATCCACAGAGGCAAGGGGGGTTCCACCGCTTGGCTGAGGAACAGTCCAAGAGACTCGTCTCATCTTGTCCCCTTCAACAGGTACGAAGACGAAATCAACAGGCGCACCGCTGCTGAGAACGAGTTTGTGGTGCTCAAGAAGGTGAGTCACAGAGGCACCAGGAGAGAGGGGG